CAATACATAAACTATGCGCATGTGGACTAATGATGTAACCACATTCTATATATATATATATATATATATATAAAGAGGGTGAAGTATTTAAAGAGACTAAGACTTTTACGTGGGAAATCTTGAATAGGAGAAAAATCACGGGGCCTAACCCAATTTGAATAAATGCACTGCTATTTGCAATCGATTAAAAATGAGGCCATTCCTTGGGGAAAGACCTTTGCTTGATGTAATAAATATGCATCAAATAACATGCATTACATGATGGGACTTGAAAGAATCACTATTGATATGTTTGTTTGGTCGGCAAAATCATAGTTGGCGGGCGATGAAGGTTTGCAAGACCATTTTCTGGCTACAAAGGTTGGAAGGACCGTAGTCGGCAGTCGACGGAGGTCGGAAGGACCATAATCTTCAACGGAGGTCTAAAGGACTGTAGTCAGCGGGCAACGGAGGTTGGAAAGGCTATAGTCTGCTGACGACGGAGGTTAGAAATATCGTTGTATGATGACGGAGGATAGAAGGACTGTTGACAGGTGGAAGTTAGGCGTTGGGTAGAAATCAGTTGACGAACGAAAGTCTGACAACGGGTATAAGTCCGATGAAAGTTCAATTACGGGCAAAAGTCTGGCAATGGTTGGAAGTCTGGCATTGAGCAGAAGTTCGGCGACAGGCGGAAGTCTGGCATCGGGTAGAAATTCGAAGAAGGGAGGATGTCCGGCGTCAATTAAAAGCCCGACAACGGGAGGAAGTCTGGCATTAGGAAAAAGTGTGGTGTCGGGTAGAAGTCCGACGACGCATATAAGTCAAGCGTCAGGTGGAATATCGGCGTCAAGTAGAAATTTGACGAAAGTCTGACGATGGACATAAGTCCGACGAGTAGAAGTTTGGCCTATGGTAGAAGTTTGATGAAAGTCCAATGATGGACAGAAGTCCAGCATCAGGTAGAAATCCGGCGACGGGTGAAAGTTTGGCGCCGGGTAGAAGTCCGGTGACAAGCAGAAGTCCGGAGAACGGTGGAAGTCCGACGTCAGGTAGAAATTCGGAGACGGGTAAAAATCCGGCTTCGATCGGTGGCGGGGAGGTGGTCGAGAACGAGTCTGGTGGCAAGCGAACTCTTCATTCTCTTCCTTCTCTTCTTGTTTTGGGCCTCCTTTCTCAATGCGATTCGGGTATTTGATTTGAACTCATTTGAGCTCGGATTGAGTAGACTTTGGTGTCGTTGGGTTCTTATTTCCAAGACGTTCAGTTCAACTATAAATTTGCTGAAATCAAAGTTTAGATGGTCTTTGATTTAAGTATTGATGATATATTGTAGATATTATAAATTATTGAAGTTATATCGTATATATTACAAATTAAACATTATATAAGCAGAAATTTGTTTTGATGATGCTGACTTATATATTGTTGACCTCATAAGTAAGCTCTTCTATTATTAATTACTCGTTAGTGATTTGATGATAACAAATTAATAATCTCCGAATGATATCATCTTATAATTAAAGATTTGCTAAGTATATTTAATAAGCTGCTATGATAATGGTGATCGTTCCAGCAGGGTGGGGTTGATTTGAGAATTTGTCGCTTATAGATGAGCTAAATGATAATGCATCATGACGTTTCAAAAATAAAAAAATAAAAAAATAATTCATTATGAGGTTTCAAGAAAGCAAAATAAAAATATCAAGAAATGTTTTATCATCTTATATATTTTATGCATGTTTTATTGTTGTAGGTCAAAGATGATGAACAAGAAAAACTGAAAATAATTTAAGATATCTTTTTTATATTAGCTATAGTACTTTCTGGGAAATTATTTGAATTTTTTTTCTATATTTTTAACTTATTGATATTTATCATTTATACAAATTATAATAATCAGTAATCATACACCATAAATTTATTTCATGGCACAAATGTTTATCAATATTATCATAAAATTTATTTCATCATAATTTTTATAATTTTTTTATTAAATTTATGATTTATATGCTACTCATACTTAATTTTTTTTTAATAATTGTTAATTAGATTATATTTAAGAATTTTAAAGCAGTTTTTTTTTTAATTGAAATTATCATGGTAGCTTTCTAATTACGGATCTTTAATTTTACATAAAAAAAAATTTATATTTGTCAAAGTATATTTACTATATCAGTGTTAAAGATTTAATACATATATTTATACAACAATAATTATCTTAAACTATAATATATGAGCTAAAAAAACAAATATATGAATAGTAGCTTGACAATGATTATTATTATTTTTCATCATAAGCGGCTTTAATTGTGATGCATCATCCATTTTGACTTTGGAGAGCTCGTCTGCTAATCTAATAATGACATTGGGTGTTGTATTTACACCAAATTATATTTATTAAATAATTGTTGTTTACAAATATTCAACCCCCAGTGTATGTGGGCTCCGAAAATTCGTGCCCCAACCTCTTCGCGGACCTCCCTCCCTTTCCTTATTTTTTTTTTTCATTTTGTTTTCGGGTCGTCAAGGAGAGTTTTAACAAGTAGGTTACAGGGTAAATTTTCAAAAGGCATATTGGATTTGAAATAAGACACTACCCAGAAATTTCGCCCTCATTTTGCGAAGACTTTTTTATATGTTCTTGATTTTTTATAGGTGCAAACCCCTATAGTTAATTACCCCTCCCGATACTGAGAAAGAACTTTCGATTAAGGCTAGTTGTCAAACATATGCGAGTGATACGTAGTATATGGTGTATAGTAGTAGCATGTTTGGTATGTGAGAATTTAATATTTAAAATTAAAAATTTGACCATCTTGCACTTAAAGTTGATGGTGAGGAGTGATGATGAGTTTGATTAAGATCCCATGATTTCATCGTCTACTGTCATCATGATCCCTAGTCTACTTAGTCAGAGGAGGTGGTCAACCCAACCTAACATAAGGATCCTTGTCCACAGCCACCAGTGTGGTGTCATTCGGCGATGAAACCATCGGTGTCGTGCCATTTGGTGACGAAATCACCAGATAAAGGACACCTGTCACATCCTTATTATGAAAAGACCGATTGAGAATGAGTCATAGTGATTATTTTGAAAATTTGAATTTTTATGAGCATTATGAGACATCATAAATATTTATGATCCCCTCCGATTGAGATTTTCTGTTAACATGACCATCATAGCAAAAATATTATAATCACTTTAAAAGATTTATATTTTGTTGAAGCTTGAATGTATAAGAAAGTATAGGGTCCTCTCTGGTTGAGATAAATATTTAAAACGGCCATCATCAAGGTTACATTGGTGGTCAAATTTTTGTTGATTAAATATTATCGACTCTATCAATTTATTGACAGAGAATCGAGTTCAAATCTAAATTCCTTTCTTAACCCACACAACATCCTCAAGCGTCACATGTGTACCTACGTTACGCTCGTCGGGGTCCATACAAGTATATATTATTGAATGCATTTATATGGTTTTTATATATATATGCATGATATTATTGGAATGAAGCCCTCTCCATATTGCAAATGCATACGGGAGGATACTTGAGAGTATAATTGTAATGTTAAATGACATACTTGAATGAAACCCTCTACCTCCTACCAATGCATGCAAAAGGTCATTTTAAATTATAATTGAACTATCAAATGACTTACTTGAATGAAACCCTCTACATCCTAACGCTATATGTAGGAGGTCATTTTTACATGCAATTGCAATGTCGGATGACATACTTGAATTAAAATCTCTGCATCCTACAAACATATGTAGGAATTCATTTTGAACAGTGATTGCAATGTCAAGTGTCATGCTAGAATGAAACTCTCTACACATTGCCAATGCATGCATATTATAAAATTCACATCAATGTGTATTTTAATGCATGCGAGGGGGTATTTTTCATTTTTAAATATAGCTGGCTGTATAAGTGACTATTATTGTCAAATGCACAAAATTTTATTTTGGCTTCATTGATGTCTTCTATCCACTTGTATGAATGTTACGGATCTGGTGGTGCGAGGGTATTTTTCACTGATTATTTGATGTTGGATGCCAACGAAAGTACATTTATCACCAACTTTCTTATGCATGTTGGTTATCAAGTTATTGCATTTATTTGCATATTAGTATTACATTCATAAAAGGCTGTTGTATTTACTAAGTGATGATTTTTAATTTAATTGTGTGAATGCCCAAATACTTATTATGCGTTGCATGCATATGTCTACATGGAACATGATTATTTATACATATTAGTTGTCAAGTTATTAAACCATCGTCATTGCTCATAAGAGGGTCGATGCACTTATTCTTCAGCTAATTACTGTTAACTACAAGCCAGTTGATACGATTTGATGTTGATCAAAAGGATACTGTAGTGCTCATTGTGTGTTACATTATACATCAATCATTTTGCCCTTTACTCATGAAGAGTTAATATATATGCTTGATATCGAGTGATCATTGATTGAAGAAATGATCTAATATACATCACATATTATTTATCGCCACCTATAGGTGGACTATTGTAGCATGATGGGTCTCCTACATTTATTTGCAAGTGGTGTATATATTTGTGCCCACAAGGGATTCACCATATATATTTGCGATAAATCCTCTGTTGTTATCCACAAATAGGTCATATCAATTGTCTTTGCTTGCATTCATCTGATGTTGTATCGTTGTTGGTTGTATGAATCCCATAGTATTTGCATGTTGTTGTAGGCTACTAGATGACTTGCATTCATCATTGGCTTCTTATAGAAGTACTAATTAATGAATTACCATATCCATTATCATCATTTATTAGCAAATTGGTGCATTCGCTTATCAGTTAATGACTGTTGCTCGTAGGTGGGTTATTTTCACTATAACTTTTATTTCCTTCATTCTCGTCATGTTGCCTCTTTCATATGTAATTGTGGATGAATCACCGTACTGCTATCCTTTGTATATTCCTATGAACTAACTTCCATATATTCCTTGTGATCAAGAGAAAATGACTACATTGCATTTGCTTCAAGGTCTTTGATCATCACTTAATTGGCAATTTAGTGCATGCTCAATCATTGCTGCTTGCTTAGTTGCATGTACTTGTAGGATATTGTTATTATTAACTGTAGGCTGGTGGAAAAAGATGCCGCAACATTCATTCATGCCCTTATAATATGTTTGTATGGAACTTATTACACTCAAGGCTTGCCATTGTCACTACTTGTAAGTGGATCAGCATATCCATGAATCGGCTAATGTTGAGCATAAGTAAGATGTCACATTCATAACATATTGCTCATTGCTACTTGCAAGTGAGTTTGACATGTTCGCTCATCGTTTGTCTCATACTTGCTGAGTGACTTGAACTATTAATTTGAATCATTGTTTAATACTTGTATTTTTTAATTTTATCATACATTTTAGAATTTAGGGTTCAGTTCAATTCACTGCGCTTCTTAGAAGTCCTATATATATATATATATATATATATATATCACATATAGCTTCTATATAAAATAACTTTAAAAACCGCCGGTAAATCTATACTAACCGCCGGAAAAAACCGCCGATTTTCAGCGTTTTTCCTGTAGTGGCGGTTTACCGTCGGTTTAGGGACCGCCGCCCTTACTGGCGGCTTATATTTGCAAAATCACCGGTGCAGCCGTCGTTAAAATCCGACGGCCAAACCGCCGGTGGTGCCGCCGGTACTACCGGCGGTCCTAAAACCGCCGGTTTAGGGCATTTTTCCTGTAGTGAAGGTGATGATGAGTTTGATGAACAACTGGGTTATGGTTGGTATGTTGGCTAAGAATGAGTATTATAGTATTATGATGGAGAACATGTGTTTCATGGGTCAATTCCTCACGGTTTTTTCTGTTTCTTTTTCTGTTAGAGATCTCATTATCTACTATTCTAAGATTCTTTTTTGGAGAGGTTTTTTCAGGCTCTATTTATCTGTGCTTGGAATCGGATACACCTGCAATCTACTCTCGGTTAGACTTTTCTTGTGCACTTTATTTTTGTTTTTCTGTTTTGCAGGAAGTACATGCTGAACGAGAGAATTTTTCAATTCCGTATTTTGGGTGTTGCTGACGTGCAGACCAGCACTTTATTTTGCCTATATTGTAATCGTAGAAAAAGGATCCACTGGCTCGTAGGATTTATTTTTCTTTTTGATTGTAGCTCGTATAAGCGTAGTGAGCTGGAGGATCCTTCTAAGGACCTTGTAACCGGTTTTTATATTAACGCGTAGGCCCCTTCTGTGGGTTTTAAAAAAAAAATTGTTAAATTTGAATTAAATTTAAAAATTGAATATATTTAAATTTAAAATCACATAAAATATTACTAATGTGTTAATTCAAATTATTATTTTTTTTTACAAAAAATTATGTATTATATGATTTTTATGTGATCTAAATTTTATTTATTACGCCATTAGATTTGACCACAATTCTACTTGTCAAAATCGGTCCAATTGTGAACCTATCCTTCTACCGATTCATTGTCGTCTAGTCCGTTTCACAACCTTAATTGGTTGATAATAATTAAATATAGTTAATAATAATTAATCACAAGTAATACTAATTAATTAACTATAAATGCCTCCTCTTTGAGAGATTCAAGCGCGGATATATCCATGAATGAAGATAGAGATATATATATATATTTTTCATCTCCAAGGAATTAACAATGCCCAGCTCAGGCGACTCACTTAATTTGATCTGTTGGTAAGAACTAAACTGTGAACCAAAAGGTCAATTGATCATTAAATAAAAAATAAAAATCCACAGCTAGATCTCCAACCGTCTTTCCATATCCAGTTACTTTTATTACATTAATTGATACTATTTTTTATCCATCGATACGTACAGCATGGGATGTCGACCGTTTGTCTCTTTGTCCCTGCTAATTCAACGGATGAACTAATTAATGCCTCTAACACCGGCCAATTGGCCTCTCCATATTATTTGCCTTTCAGCGAGAACTCCACATGCATGCGTACAGCTATATTATTTAATTTTGTTTCCAACCGCCACGTCAAAACTCAAAATGCTACCTATTTATGGCGAACTGATTGTTTCAGAAGACTGCAGATCTCCTGCTACATTCATCAGGTACGTAATAATATTCAATTGTTTATTGTTTGATTTTTTTTTTCAGTATTCCTGCTAATTAAACTTAATTATGGCCATGCATGCATGATCATTATATATGTATAAATATTCTTATAGAGGAATTCGTTGAGGGGAAGATGAGGGAGAAGAGCTTGAAGAGTCTTGGTGTGAGGGAGAAGAAGATGTTAGTGGAGAGGCTTCTTCCAAGAGATGTAGATGAGGACAATAACACTTTTCTTCTCAAAATCAAAGACCGTTTTGAACGGTAATGTAAAGTTACTATCAATAAGACTTTTCTTCTCAATATATATCATTATGCATGAGAGGCATGGATGTGAGGAAGCAAACTTCTTACTCTCCTACGTACAAATGTTTTGGATTTGTTGGAAAAAGAAAGGTAGTTTGTTTCCTAAAGCCTTAGAGGGATTCCTAAACCATTTGTTGTGATTAGGAGGTTTAGGAGTGCACACATGCATTGATTTGACTACAAACAAAGGGCTCTTCAATATCTACTTTTCTTGTTGTTTTATGTGGCCACTTCGATTGAAAAATTACATAAATGAACTTACTTAATTTGGAAGAAAAAGAAAAGAATCAGATATATATGGCACACGAACCTTTGAAGATCCATCGTATACCCCTTAGTTTTTTCAATCGAAGTGGCCGCATTTATGCAAGTTCATTTTTCTTTGAATTGTACGATATATATATCATTTTACTGCCGTTTATATAAGAAGATTTGCTAATGAGAACTCACAAAATATTATGAAAGAAGACATGAATTGTATTGTGTTATTGGGAAGATAAATATATATATATAACCTCTAATATTTTATTATTTTCAAAATTGAATGATTTTGACGAGCAGGACGTTTCAGTAAATATATCTCTGGACTACTTGATAAAATTAACATATAATTTCATGGTAATTTTGGGCCATGCATGAACCTCCAAGCAGCTTCTTCTAACATTAATATTATTCACTTTATAATCGACAGAGTTGGAATGGAGTGGCCAACGATTGAGGTGCGGTTTCAGGACATTGTAGTTGAAGCACAAGTTTATGTGGGCAACAGAAGCATTCCTTCTTTCTTCAATTCCTTTCTCAACTCTGCAGAGGTTTATATTAAAGTTCAAGAAAATCATTTTTAATTAGTTCCTTTAAAAGTTATTATTATTGTTTCCTGTTAGAAAATTTTATATTAGTTTAGCAGTTATTTTCTATCTTAATTTTGGGCAAAACTTTAACATGTACAAATAAAAAGTTGTAGGAGGCCAAAGAAAATTTTTACATAAAAAAAATTCAACAACAACAACAACAACATCAAGTCTTTATCCCACTGCGTGGGGTCGGCTACATGAATCCTTTTTCTCCATTGTGTCCTATTAAAAGTCAAATTCTCGTTTAAATCTAATAAAGAAAGGTCATTCCTAATATTTTCTAACCAAGTCTTTTTAGGCCTACCCCTACCTTTCTTAACATAAGTCAAATCTAATACATCTACTCTCCTAACCGGGTCATCGGAAGGCCGCCGTTTTATGTGACCAAACCATCTAAGGCGACTCTCTCTAATCTTATCTTCTACTGGAGCTACTTCAACCTTTCCTCGTATATACTCATTTCGTATCCTATCTCTAAGAGTAAAGCCACGCATCCACCTGAGCATCCTCATCTCTGCCACACTTAACTTAGTATTATGATTCTCTTTTAATGGCCAACATTCGGCACCATAAAGCATTGCAGGCCTCACTACCATCTTATAGAATTTTATCTTAAGTTTGAGGGGTACATTTCTATCTCATAATAAGCCCGATGCATTCCTCCACTTCAACCATCCAACTTGAATTCTGCTGATAATATCCCCATCTATTTCACCATCACTCTGAACAATATATTCAAGATATCTAAAATGTGTACTCTTATTAATGACTTGATCGCCCAAAGTCACAATCCCATCACTAGGTCTATTACTACTAAAATTACACTCAATATATTCTGTTTTAGATCTACTGAAGCGAAAACCTTTAGACTCTAAGGTTGACCTCCATAATTCAAGTTTACCTTCAACTCCCTCTCTAGTCTTATAAACAAGAAGAATATCATCAGCAAAAAGCATACACCAAGGTACATCCTCTTGCAAATGTCTAGTGAGAACATCCATGACTAAAGCAAAAAGATATGGGCTTAAGGCTGGTCCTTGATGTAACCCAACCGTAATAGGGAAATGCTTGGACAATCCACCTTGTGTTTAAACACAAGTAATAGCTCCTGCATACATATCTTTAATGATTTGAATATAAGCATTATTGACTACTTTCTTTTCAAGAACTCTCTATAGCACTTCTCTTGGAACTTTATCATATGCTTTTTCTAAATCAATAAATATCATATGTAGATCCTCCTTATTTTCTCTATATTTCTCCATCAAACCTCTTAATAAATATATGTATAAATGTATGGCTTCCATTGTCGACCTACCCGGCATGAATCCAAATTGATTTTGAAAAACATTAGTATCATGCCGCAACCTATGCTCCATAACTCGCTCTCATAGTTTTAAAGTATGACACATTAACTTAATACCTCTATAATTCGCACAACCTTGTGCATCACCTTTACATAAAAAAAATTGAAAAGAAAAAAAACTAGAGGCCTACCCAATTGAAAAAAAAAAACACTATAACAAAATATACAAGATCTTTCCTTCCGCATAATTGAAGAAGAGATGATTATTTTGAGAACTAATGTCTTATCTCTCCCTTCTAGGATTATAGAAATCCATTATCCATAGGCCGACAGTTGATACAAAATAGCAAGGTTAAACTCCACTGAAAGCACGGGAGGCTGGGGCGCAAATTTTCGGAGTCCACAGTTCTCAAAATAGTCCTATCTTTTTCAATTGTGAAAGAGCATCTCCTACTATATAAAAAAATAAATTTCAACTTTGTTAGGCCCTATGATAATTTCTTTTTCAAAGTTTTTCACATAATTTTTTTTTGTTTTTGATCTATTGCAATGTTTTTTCTCTGAATGTTGAATTTTTGCTCAAAATTAAAACATAAAATATCAATTCTACCGAATTAAATTTTTTAGCATCTAATAATTATAAGCTGAGAAAACTTTATCTGCATCTGATGATTTTGACCAGAGGTTTGCCAATTTTTTGCACTTAATGCCAAGCAAAAAAAAACCGTTCACCATCCTTCAAGATGCTAGTGGAGTTATCAAGCCTCACAGGTTCTTCTTTTTTTCCTGCTATCAAGTCATTATTTGATTAGCCTAACAAATCAAACTCTACTATTGATTGGCTAATTAGATAATAAATTATCTCAATGATCATTAGGATGACGCTGCTACTAGGTCCACCAGGTTCTGGGAAGACCACTCTATTAAAAACTCTTTCTGGAAAGCTACAATCTGATCTAAAGGTCTTGAGATTTATGTTCTCTCTCTCTCTCTCTCTCTCTCTATTAGGATCGAATGACTTTATCTTTCTAGTAAAATGGAGGTCTTGAGAAACACTGCAGGTTTCTGGGGAAGTCACTTATAACGGCTATCAAATGAATGAGTTTGTTCCTCAAAGAACTGCGGCTTATATAAATCAATATGATGTTCACATTGGAGAAATGACAGTGAGGGAAACTTTGGAGTTCTCTGCAAGGTGTCAAGGAGTTGGTTCCCGTTTTAGTAAGCATTCTTTGTCATCTGAACACTTTAAGCATGAGAAGAAATGCTATAAATATTGTTTGTTCATCTTTGAGCTAAATAAAAATATACTACAGATATGCTATCTGAACTGTTGAAAAGAGAAAGTGAAGCAAATATCCAACCAGACCAGGATTTAGATGCTTTCATGAAGGTCATTTAGATTAATCTTACTTTTATTAACGAGATATTTATACTTTTTAACATTTGAGTTCTTAATTAATGATGGTGTTTAATCATTCTAGGCAGTATCAGGTGAAGGGAGGGAAACTGGAGTGATCACAGAGTACATAATGAAGGTTCCTACAACTTGTTGCCATTCTCATCATCTAATTATATTACAAGTTTGAAATTGCATATGTTATTTTTTCGCATTTGAAAAACAGATTCTAGGACTAGATGGATGTGCTGATACCTTGATTGGAAATGATATGCAAAGAGGTATCTCAGGGGGAGAAAAGAAACGTGTCACTACAGGTAGGGAGAATGAAAATTCTGCATCAAATGGCATAAACGTGAGATGAAACTTAATTGTAATTAATGATGATATAGGTGAGATGATTGTTGGCCCAATGAGAGCCTTATTCATGGATGAGATATCAACCGGGTTGGACACCTCCACAACTTTCCAGATAGTGAACTCATTGAGGCAATCTGTTCAGATTCTTGGTTTAACTACAGTTGTGTCCTTACTCCAACCAGCACCAGAGACGTACGAGCTCTTTGATGATATCATACTCTTATCAGATGGTTATATAGTATACCAAGGTCCCCTCGAGCATGTCCTTGAGTTCTTTGAATCCATGGGATTCAAATGCCCTGAAAGAAAAAGTGTGCCCGACTTCTTGCAGGAGGTAGGTGAATCAAGACTAATTATTCATTTGTGACGGCTTTCTTATTGCTTCTTAAAGCAGCTTTCTAGTTTAAATATTACAATTTTTGTACTGAAAAGCTGCTTTAAGACGTAGTAAGAAAATAAACCCTAAACGAAGCCTAAGTTTTTCTTTGTACCCAAAGCTACTAAAGTTTGGTTAATGTGGTTATTGCCTTATTGATTTTGTAGGTGACATCAAGAAAAGATCAACAACAATATTGGGGAAGAAATGAAGAATCATACAACTATGTTCCTGTTAGGAAATTTGTAGAAGCGTTTCAATCATTCTATGTTGGCAAAAGACTAGAAAGAGATCTATCTGTTCCATATGACAGAAGTAAGTGCCACCCTGATGCTTTGACTACCTCAAGATATGGTGTTGGCATAATAGACCTACTCAAAGCCTGTTCTGCAAGAGAATTACTATTGATCAAGAGGAACTCGTTTGTCTATGCATTCAGGGCATTTCAGGTCAGCTGTTAATCTAAACTAAATAAACAAATATAGCACAATCATTTTCTAATTTTATTTATTTGACTAGCAGGTGATGTTCGTGGCATTAGTTATGATAACACTATATGGAAGGAAAAACATGCACCATAACACAGTGAACGATGGAATTATTTTTATGGGATCCCTTTACTTGTCTATTGCTGTTATTATTACAAATGGACTTTCTGAGCTAGCTATGACTGTCATTAAGCTTCCTGTCTTCTTCAGGCAAAAGGATCATCACTTTTATTCTTCTTGGGCTTATGCAATACCAACATGGATATTGAAAATACCATTTTCATTTCTTGAAGTAGCCATTTGGGTGATCATTACTTACCATGCTGTGGGATTTGATCCAAGTGCAACAAGGTTACATAAATAATATATTAAAGTTTCATCATTCTCTACCTATGCTTATTCATTCGCATTTAAGCTCATGAACTGATCATTTTTGTAGGTTCATAAAGCAATACCTTCTACTTCTTCTAGTTCATCAAATGGCTGCAGGAATGTTTCGCTTAGTTGCTGTGATAGGTCGAATCATGGTTATTGCTTATGTGATTGGATCCTTTGTATTTATTGCTAACAGCGTTTTGAGCGGATTCATTATTTCACATGGTTGGTTAGTTGTTGAAAAATGCTAAAACCTCTTTTAAATGTTGTAAATATGAATTATGTCTTCATATTTTTCTTCAGACGCTGTAAAGAAATGGTGGATATGGGGCTATTGGGTTTCACCTTTTATGTATTCACAAAATGCTATTTCAATAAATGAATTCCATGGGAGGAAATGGAGTCAGGTAAGATAGTCCTCTTTGCTTCATCACACAAGAACAAAAAGCCGCAAATGAAGATTGACCATTTTGGTTCAATGTTTATTGTAGATCATACCTGGGTCAAATCAAACACTTGGGTTCAGTATCTTAAAGTCTCGAGGAGTATTTCAGGATGAAAATTGGTTCTGGATTGGTGCATCAGCTTTACTTGGATATGTGCTTTTATTCAATTTTATTTACACCATATCACTTTCCTATTTCAAACGTAAGAAACTTATGTTCTTACCCAATCTTATGACTAAATTTACATTATACATCAAATTATTATTAAGTATAAACTTAAAATTAGATAATGCTTGCAGCACTTGGAAATGTTCAGTCCACTATATCTGAGAAAACACTAGAGGAAAGGGAAATAAACAGGATGGGAAAACTTATAGGTCTTTCAAGTGGAATGGGAGGATCTAATCGCCAATTTGCATTCAGTAAGTATATTAAATCAGGCAACTTCACGAATGCTTTTCTTTAGATTAAAAATTGATTAATATCACACATGCAGATAAAGTTAGAGATTCATCTGTAAGGATTGGAATGGTGCTTCCATTTATACCACTTTATATAACCTTTGACAATATAAGATACTCAGTAGACATGCCAAAGGTATTTCATGTTTTTCATTGGTATTGCTTATCATGTCCTTCATTATATTCCAAGTGATTTTTGCATCTTTTTATATGTAATGATAAATCATCTCTTTGAATTGTTCTTTTCTAGGAAAAGAAGACACGAGACAAATTGGTTATTCTAAATGGTGTGAGTGGATATTTTAGACCAGGAGTGCTTACAGCACTAATGGGTGTTAGTGGTGCAGGAAAAACTACTCTGATGGATGTACTTGCAGGGAGAAAAACTGGAGGATATATTGAGGGAAACATTACCATATCTGGCTATCCAAAGAAGAAAGAAACATTTGCTCGAATGTTAGGATATTGTGAACAAAATGATATCCACTCTCCAAATGTGACAGTCTATGAATCTCTTATTTTTTCGGCGTGGCTAAGATTACCAGTTGAAGTTGATTCTTTAACAAAAAAGGTTAAGTTTTATTCAATTAAATATTATTGAGCATTGATTATCTCTTTTTTTCTCTTATTAGACTAAAACTACAAATAAAACTATTTTAATGATAACTACAGATGTTCATCGAAGAGATAATGGAGCTTGTAGAGTTAACATCTATAAGAGAAACAGTGGTTGGCCTTCCAGGTGTGAATGGGTTATCAACTGAGCAGCGTAAACGGCTAACTATTGCCGTTGAGTTGGTTTCTAACCCTTCCATAATATTTATGGATGAGCCTACCTCTGGACTTGATGCTAGATCAGCATCTATTGTTATGAGAACTGTAAGAAATATAGTGGAAACCAAGAGGACAATAGTGTGCACAATCCATCAACCTAGCATTGACATTTTTGAATCATTTGACGAGGTAAGCATTAATATAGAATGAAAACACATTAATTATTTCCATTAAGATTAGAACTATCTAAAAATCGACATAACCCAAAGCATCAAATTACCAAGTTAAATGTGATTTTAAAGAGGATATTATCCTAACCATGTCATAATTAAAGTTTTATTATAAGGAGTTTATTTTCATGACTCAAGTTCATGACATTCATAACTACATCATGATGTGTTTTTTCTATTCATAAATACAGCTCCTTTTGTTGAAATTGGGAGGAAAACAAATATATTTTGGGCCTTTGGGTCACCATTCCTTTAACCTCATTAGTTATTTTGAGGTAATGCCACATAAGATGTTCTTAAATCTTATGTTAATTTCACAATTTTGATCTAACATGTTTATATATATATATATATATATATATAACTTTTGTAGGGGATTGAAGGAATCCGAAAAATAAGAGATGGCTATAATCCTGCAACATGGATGTTAGAAGTAACCACAACAGCTCAGGAACATATATTAGAAGCTGATTTTAGTGAGATATACAAGAACTCAGAATTGCATGAGTAAGTGAGAATGAGCTTGAAACCATGTAATCTTTCATATATATAATTCCTAACATAAAAATCATTATAGGAAGAATAAAGCAATTATTGCAGAATTAAGCATACCACCTCCTGGATCTGATGATCTTCATTTTTCAACACAATACCCACAAATGTTTCATACCCAATGCATTGCTTGTCTCTGGAAGCAACACTTGTCATATTGGAGGAATCCTCCCTATACCGCTCTGAGGTTTCTCTTCACAATTTTGATAGCCTTGTTATTCGGGACAATATTCTGGGATCTTGGCAGTAAAAGGTATATTCTGCTTAATTCATTTAATTCTTACTCAAATAACTATATCATGCTGTATAAATTTTTTACATGGTTGTAGGTCAAAGCAACAAGATTTGATCAATGCAATGGGCTCCATGTACTGTGCTGCTTTATTTTTAGGAGTCTTCCATTCTAATGGGGTTCAACCAACTGTGGTTGTTGAGCGAAAGGTCTTCTATAGAGAGAGAGCAAGTGGAATGTATTCAGCAATGCCATATGCATTTGGACAAGTAATAATAATTTGATTCTTCCTATTTTTAATATATATATCTCTTGAAACTTAACAACGATATTGCTAATCTGTACGTACATTCAGGTTGTAGTTGAGCAACCTTACCTCTTGACTCAATCACTATTATATACAGTCATAGTTTTTTTAATGATCGGATTTGAATGGACAGCAGCAAAAGTTTTTTGGTACATGTTCTTCACTTATTCGACTTTGTCTTACTATACATACTATGGCATGATGACCGTCGGTTTAACCCCCAACCAAAGCATAGCAGCAATAGTAGCTGCAGCATTTTATAGCATTTGGAATATTTTTTCTGGGTTTCTCATCCCAAGGACGGTAATTGAAATTTATTTTTTTAATTGTGAATTCTAATTTAATTTATCAAATATGCATCTCTTTATTTATGTTAAATAATTCATTCATCATGCAGAGAATGCCTATGTGGTGTAAATGGTACTACTGGGCATGTCCGTTAGCATGGACACTCTACGGATTGATTTCTTCTCAATATGGTGATGATAACAATTTGCTTGACACAAACGAAACTGTGGCTGAATTTGTTAAGAGCTACTTTGGATACAGGCATGATTACCTAGGGGTTGTTGCAGTTGTTGTCATATTATTTGCAAGTTTCTTTGCTATTATGTTCGGAGTTGCAATCAAATTTCTGAACTATCAAACAAAATAAGTTTCTTACATTACATGTAAAATGAATCTACATGCAATTTAAGTATTGAATCCTTATTTATATAGGAACCACTATTAAATCTCCTCTATTATGACATGTTCTTTTTCTATGTAGTTTGATTAATTTAGAAGAAAAAAACGTTTCACCAAGTAATCTATTTGTTTATGCTTAAAAATGCATTAGTTACTACAATGCATCAAATTGAGTTTCATTTTACCTACTTTGCAAGCTTGGAATATAATGAAGCCCATACATTATTCCTCTCTCATCAGGGCTTAGTGTGCAGAAGACATTTGCATTTTAAGTCTTATAGGAGTTGTATTAGCAATCATGAGTTGCCTTTTAAAGGAGAACTTAGAGACCATAGGTAGAAGATAGTGCCAACAAAGCTCATTTTATCTATACCTCAACTAATCTGATCTATTAGATATACCAAATGACTCGGACTCATTAGCATGACCATAAAGAAGCAGATTGGGCTTTGAAAACTTAATTGATTAACATGATTTAGTAGCACATATCAAGCATGACCATGAAGAAGCAGATTGGGCTTTGAAAACTTAATTGATCAACATGATTTAGTAGCAAATATCAAGCATGACCATTTAGGTCCAAGGTATTTGCTACCCGAAAATTCAATAATTATATTTGGTATCTAATGACAAGCTGTAAATTTCAAAATTATTGGAGACAAATTGTATAAAAGGGCATTTATGAGATAATATCTCAAGTGTCGTCCTCTATTACTGATCAATTATATGCTTTAAGGGCATTTATGAATGTATGTATATATATGTACATATATGTTATTATTAGTGTTATCTTGCAAATATATATATTGGACCCTTAACAAAAAGGGAAAGACACTTAGCTAAAAGACGCCATAATAAAAGAGATAAAATAGAATCTCAACCTAAATACAAAAAATCTTCAAAAAAGCCATACAAAGAAAAACATTTTCATCAGTCAAAAGAAAAGAAAATGGAAAAAATAATCATTTGTTTTAAATGTGGTAAAATAGGACATTATTCAAATAAATGTCACATGAAAAAGAAAATAAGCGAATTAAAATTAGATACATAAACTAAAGAATTATTAATGAAAATTCTTCTAAATTCAGAAGAATCTGAATCCAATTCTGCAACAGACAACGAGATAGACGAATCTGAGTCAGATTCCTCATCCTGATGTAATGTGATTACTATAAATCTATAGTTGAAAAATCAGGATTATTTGTTCTTACTGATGAACAAAAAGATCAACTTATTCAAATATTAACTATAATTCAAGATCCAAAAACTAAAGATCAGATAATTAAATTATTAGGTAACACAGAAGACTCTCTTCTTCCAAAAATTCAAAAATTTTCTAATTATTCTATGAAAGAAGTTCTAGATCGATTTAAAATAATAGAACAAGAAACAAATCCATCTCCAGCTACTCTGACTGATTTAAAAATTGAATTGAAAAACTTAAAAAAGGAAGTTCAATTAATTAAATCAGAACAAGATAAATTATCTGCAAGAATAACAAATCTCGAATTAGAACAAATTCTAGATCAGCCTGACCTGGATCAACCTAATCTTGATCAACTTAATGACTCACAAAATACTGAAAACAACACTCTCATTAATTCATTACAAAAAGCCATTACCCATAAATGGTTTATTTCAATAACATTAGTAATAAAAAAATCATTAGTACTGTCAAATCTTACTGCTTTAATAGACAGCGGGGCAGACATGAATTGTGTCCAAGAAGGACTAATCTCATCAAAATTTTTGAAAAAACCACTCAAAAACTAACTTCAGCTAGTGGAGATAGTATGCAATTTAAGTATAAACTATCTGAAGCCGTAGTCTGTCAAAAAGGACTACTGTATAAAAATCTCATTCTTATTAGTAAAAAATTTATCTCAACATATTATACTAGGAACTCCATTCCTATTTAGTATTATGCTAATAACTACAAATATCAAAGGTATCGTATCTCATTGTTGCGATCCTCTTACCTTCAAATTTATTACAGATCCTAAAAAGATCATACTAAATGAACTAAATAAACTTAAAAGCAAACAATTACACATAAACTATTTACCTAAAGAAATTCAAACAACTGAATTAAATAGCCAGCTGCAAAAATCTAAAATTAAACAAAAAATTTTTGAATTAGAAAAAACTATTAAAACTACCATTTGTGGCGATAATCCTATTAGTTTATGGAAAAGAAAGACTCACTGTGTTAGTCTTCCTTATATTTATGGATTTGACGAAAATCAAATACCTACAAAATCTCGCCCCTCACAAATGAATAAAGAATACTTAGAATTTTGTCATAAAGAAATTACAGACCTTTTAGAAAAACAAATCATTCGAAAATCAAGCTCCCCTTGGAGTTGTACTGCATTTTATATTATGAATGCAGCAGAAAAAGAGCGAGGAAAACCACGCCTAGTAATAAATTATAAACTATTGAATAAAGTCTTAAAATGGATTAGATATCTCTTTCCTAATAAAAGAGATCTTCTTAATTGTTTAGCACAGGCAAGCTTATTTTCAAAATTTAATTTTAAATCTGGATATTGGCAAATCCAGATAAAAGAAGAAGATCGCTATAAAATCGCTTTTACCGTACCATTCGGCCAATACGAATGGAATGTTATGCCATTCGGACTAAAAAATGCTCCATCAGAACTTCAAAAAATTATGAATGAAATTTTTAATTCATATAATAAATACATCTTAGTTTATATAGACGATGTATTAATTTTTTCTAAATCCATAGACGAACATTGTAAGCATCTCAATTTGGCTAGCCCGATAAAATGGCTTAGTTATATCTGAACCAAAAATTAAAGTATTTCAAACAGAAATTCAATTTTTAGGACATAATATTAAAAATGACACTATTATCCCTATTCAACGGAGTATTAAATTTGCTGACAAATTCCCTGATAAAATATTAGATAAACAACAGCTCCAATGCTTTCTTGGAGCCCTAAATTATATATCTGACTTTTATCATAATTTAGCTAAAGATGCAGCACCCTTATTTAAAAGACTTCGTAAAAACACCCCTCCTTGGGATGATGAATGTACAAAAGCTGTACAAATTATTAAAAATCATGTTAAAAATTTACCTTGTATAAATTTAGCCAATCCTGCTTATTTAAAAAATGTTAAAACTGATGCCTCGAACTTAGGATATGGAGGCATACTCAAACAACAAAATCCATCGACAAAAAGAGAAGAATTAGTCCGTTTCACTTCAGGATTATGGAATCCTACTCAAACTAAGTACGCTACCATTAAAAAGAAAATATTAGCTATTGTTAAATCTATCAGTAATTTCCAAGATGATTTACTGAATACTACTTTTATCCTCAGAATAGATTATTCTTCCGCTAAATTTATTTTACAAAAAGATGTAAAAAATTTAGCATCCAAACAAATATTCGCCACCTAGCAAGCCCAACTAGCAATTTTTTTATTTCTCTATTGAATTTATTAAATGAAAATATAATTCATTACCTGACTTTTTAACTCGTGAATATCTTACAGGAACCACACCAGCAAATAGATAATGAGGGGTGGTGTACACCAAAAGGACGCCCAACACCACTCGTCCTGAATCCAGGATGAGGATGGCCCACTCCTCGTGTCACTTCTCGAGGAAGAGGGCGTGGCCAGCCTGGCCGGGGTAGAGGAGAATTCACTCCTCCCAAGATGATTCCATTAAAAACATATCTCTACGGGTCATCCGAACCCTCTAAATCGAAAAAAATCCCCGAAAAAATCCCGAAAAATATCCAATCAATCCCTCAACAAACATCTGATATGTTCGAACCAGTATTAAAAACAAGTGTTAAAGATATCTTACATTTAAACAGCGAGGATAATGATATATCCTCTCCCTAGATTATTTTTAAGAAATACTTAAATATTAATTCCTTTCTCCAAGATTCCAATTTTGATAGAGAAACTTATGAATTTATTTTTATCCATCTTCAGTACATAGAAGTAAAACATCATTATGATGACAAGCGCAACATTACCTATAACAGAGCTAATATCCTTAGCATTATTCATCCAAAGGATTGGGGAATCACTCCATTTCAAATCCAAAAAATTGATGTTCCACTCCCCGATGGAAATATTAAATCCTACTCTTTTAATTATTGGACCTACGTGCAAGCCATGCATAAGGCCTTTTATGTTTTAAATACTACCCATTCCCATTCCTGGATGTTTATCCATAACCCAGAAATATTAGACAATTTGCTTCCCTCATGGTTCTATAAATGGTGGGAATATAAAGGCGCTATCTTTTCTATCCTACCACCTAAACTCCAAACAAGTTATAATACTTGGGTAAAGTCATCTCCTCATCTTCAACTAATCAAAACTGAAGATTTTATCGATGGCATGGGAGAATTTTTCTATTTTGCCCAAGCTCAAATTCAATGGATCTGGTCATGGAATATTGAAATTAATCGTGACTCTTTAAACTTAAAGAGTTTTATGCGTAATTTTTCTGTAAAATGGTGGTCTGCCATTATCATTGAAGATAAAAGAAAGCAGGTGGATAAGGTTATTCAAAACAACCTTCTTAAATCTCAAAGACAACCCATGGCTGCAGAGTTTTCTTTAAAAAATATGCAGAAGATGTTTAAACAGCGATATCCACATGAATCGCTCGAGCAAATCAAAGTACGACTTCATAAGGCTTATTGGGAACAAATGACCCAATTATTTCCTGAAGATGAAGACATGGCATCACAGAGATCAGATGATACCATCCCAGACACATGGGACCCATAGTCAATCAAGAACGATGAAATTGGACCCAGTCATCATCCTGGAAAAGCTCCCTTAGCCGAAGAATCAGACGACTTTTAAAAAAGAGAACATTAAAGGCAGCATAATGGTACAATAATGCCGCCTTTTCACGTGACCTTGTTCTCCATTATAAAAATAGGGTCATTAGCCACCACTCAGAAGAGATAATGGGGAATCAATTATGTACTCTTTTACTTTAATAATTGTACCAGTTTCTTCTTGTCTAAGTTTTCGTTTAAACTTATGTCTATATAAGTGTGTAAGCTGAGCCTTAAAGAGGCATCCTTTTGTATTCAAGACTTCCTTGGTTATATAATAAGATTTGTAAGTTTTCAGCTTTTTGCCCTTATCTTTTAATTTTCAGTTCTATTTATTTCAATTTTTATTTAGTATTTTTCGCAATTTGGTCTCTACCCAAAGTAGATAGAAATTTAATCTATCAAATCGTTACCTTTGATTTTAAAGGTAAAACTAACATAAAAATAGTAGAACAGTCAATAACAATTGACTCAACAGAGAAAACAATTTCTCGATTATCTTATG